TCCTGTTCCCATCAAGGTGAGTCTGTTTCTCCACYCCAAGAGGTGAGGCTTGACCATCTGATTGCCCTGGAAAATGGACATGACAAGAAGTATCATGAAARGTTTGCTCATTGGGGCTTATTCTCTTGTTGTTTTTTCTACTGTCATGTAAATAAGCCTAGACTAGCCTGATGGATGATGAGAGACATGTAGCCTAATCGTCCCCATGACCCTAGCCAACAGTCTGCCAACTGCCAGACATGTGAGTAAGGTGATCTGAGATCATCTAATCTTCAGCCAACTGATCAGCTGACCATGGACATGTGAGCCAACCAGGCATAGCCAACTCAGGCCAAGCCAGAGCAGCCTAGCCAAGTCATCATGAGCTGATTACACTGTTGTTTAAGCCCACAGTTTGGGGGTGGTCTGCTATGAAGGAAAAATTGCCTGAAATAGCACTAAGTTACATAATTGTTTTTCATTATTAAGTCAACAAACATCTACGAATGCCTTCTGTGTGTAAGGCTGTCAGCTAGGCACAGAGACCCTAAGCTAAATAAGACATGGTTTCTACCCAGAGGAGCCTACATTGACAACATTGTTAYGGACACCAGCAAATAGATGGCAGTGCAGAATGATCAATATTGAAAAGAAAGTTTTACAATAAAGCAACATATGGGAACATAGAGGAAGGGTGATTTAATGACTTGGGATGGTCTAGGAAAAAAGCAAGTGAGGTCAGAATTGGATCCTCACCAATGAACCAGTCAAGTTGGGGAGAACATTTTATGAAGAGGAAATAGCATATGTGAAGACTCACAGAAAATACAGGATATAAAGTGGGAACTGGTGACATATACAATGCAGCAGGAATTATAGCGTGAAGGATATGGGATAAGACGGATGATTTAGGAAATCTGAGTCAAAACCAATTTGGCAATAAATCCTAAGTATTATGGAAGAAAATAAGAAATCATTAAAGTGAAAAAGCACAATAAACTTTTTAAAGCATAGTTTACCTTCCTTCCATTATTTTTGACTTTGGACCCTGTCACAATGTTCAAGTAAAGCTATTGTAGTGCAAGTCTCTTCTTGTCTGATTATCCTGACAGTTTACTTCACAGTACCAAACTTGCTCTGTTAAGCTCATTTAATTATACTCAGTGTTGTTCAACTCGGAGCATACACCCCTTAATTGTATGTGTACCCCCAATTGTATGACAAGCAGTTATTTGCCAAGCAATTTAACTTTTTTAAAAACATTGATTTGAATCAACAATTTTGCAAAGTTGGCTACCTAGAACACTGTGGAAAATAATTGGTTTAAAGTGATTTAAAAATACCTGCTTCCCCAAGTCATTAAAATAATAGATGCATTCTTTGAGGTAATTTATGATCATGTTTACGTAACTATGAAGAATGCCTCTTAAAATACTTTAAGAATTATGTGAAGAAATATTTAAAGTGAATCTCTGCTTAAAGCCATCCCTCCTCTGGTACTTGTCCACTTGTCCATATGTCTGGCATAGTTTTTAGATGATGATAGAAAAACACATAATAAATTATTGTGAAAGTTCAGAAATGAAACCACCTTCCAGAGTCAAGCCTACACAGTAATATTAATCAATGGTTGATGAACAAACCGATTGACAAATTCAGCTTCAATTTCACTAAATATAAAATGAGAAACTAAATGATAACTGAAGTTCCAATCAATCCCAAAATTCAAGTAGCATTTTTCCCACACACAAAAARTACAAAACATATGCATCAGTTCAATTTATTTAGTCTTGCCTAATACATGATTGCATTTGCTCTTTAAAAGGAACACAAAGTATAAAACTATAAAAATAATCCTGAAAGTTATACAGTTTTTTTCAAATTATGATTTTAAAAACAGCTCTTTTAAAAGTGATTGCTATGTGCCACAAAGAGTCATAATAAAATGCAAAAGATGAAAAAACAATCTTTAACATAGAAGCCAATTAGCCACAGCTGTATTAAATAWAAGGAAACTGAGCAGAATTACAGCTTTATTTCTGCTGCTGTCATCCATACTTCTGTGATGAAATTAAGGAATTTTATTGAGACTTTTAACTGAATAAGTTTGTCACATTACCATATTATAAATCAATTCTAAACCATATCTTGAGCATTTCACAAACCTTGGGAACATGATACTTTGGGGATTTGATAATGACTATAAATATCACATCCTTTTTTTCAAAAACAATAAGGCAAAATAAAATAAATAAAATGTACCATTTTAAAAGTGTACAATTTGGTGGCTTTTAGTACATTAGCAATATTACTCAATAATCACCACCACCTTGTTCTAGAATATTTTCATCACTCCAAAAGAAACTCCATGTTCATAGTCACTCTCCTCCTTGGCCACCACTAATCTAATCTGTTCTACAGGCTAGCCTCCTCTTGGTACTTCATATAACTGGACTAGATAATGTGTGGCCTTTTGTGTCTAGCTTCATTCACTTAGCACTCCCTCCCCATGAGTACCATACCCTTTTGCATTGAGGATAAAGACAATTATTAATGTAAATCAAACTATTAATATAAAGCATGAGAAAAAATCCACTGGAAACTAAACAGCATGAGGTAAGTGAATGAGACAGTTCAGTTTTATTTTCACTATGGACTGGTGCTTAAACAATGATCAAGTGAACAGTACAATTTTACATTTAAATACAAAATAAAAATCTTCAGAATTCATGTCCACTAAATTATGAATCACTCAATGCAATTTCATGTTATGGCTGTTTTCATAAAGCTATTGGAATATTGTAAGGAGTCAGTACCTTTCTCTACTTATATCAAATCCCTTATTTTATTAGGAATACAGGTAGTAATTTTTAAATCATCAATTGAATTGATGTAAAAAGATGGTACCATTATTTCATTTTCTCTGGAGTGATTTAATAAATAATATGGTTAAGCCACACTTAAGTTATAAAATTAAATAAGCATTAATTATTATTAATATAAAAAAGATTTCAACAGAAAAAAATGTTCTACGACAGCAGAGGGCAGGCTCTCCTTTTAAACTTCAATCTTTTGAGCAATAACAAATTTATTGCTACGTTCTCATATCAGTAGGCCTTAGAATTACTATTTTRAAATGTAAAATTAATGTCACCTTTTGACTAGGAGTGCAAAACACTCTCTGACTCAAGTCAATTTCTGTGCCAAAAGTTGAATACATTTATCAACTGTGCCTGTTTAAAACATTGAGGGGGGAAAAATTAAATTCTAACTATATCAGAAAAAAATAAAAATTAAACCTGATGAATGTGTTGGGAAAGGACGTGACCTGATGATTTTGGTCCCAAGATTTCAACAAAAATGAAGTCTTATTACTTTCAAACACATAAACTATCACTACCACTAGAACTAACCATGCATTGAAGAATCATTTCCTTTCATATCTGCATGCAAATGAATTAATAAAGTGATTTTGGAGATACTTAAAATTATATTGGTGTTGGCGGGGGTGGTRAACATCACATTTCCCTTGTCAGTTTGCTTCAGGAATGCTTTTCTTCGTAGTAAATAATAGAGCTTGTCAAAAAGATTGAAAAATTATTTTAAAAGATTTGCATCAACTAATTTTACAGAGCATGTTCATGAACCTATCTTGTRATCCATTTCTTTGTAGTATTTTAACTTTAAAAAGTTACTATCCACATAATACATTGGAATATCAAACATTCTGAACATAAAATGTCCATTTTGAAATGTYCCAAGGTACAAAACACCTCAAGATGTTATCCCCCTTACCAAGACATATTGATCAATTTTAATGATTGTCAAATAAGTATATATTACAATGAATTTATAGAATTTCTTCAGTCACTGATGCAATAACATTTTTGTACAACTTCAGCAAACTGCCTAATCTTGCAAAGGATTTTCAGAGCAACATATCACACCTCACTCATTTCTACTTTTATTTTGCTATTACACCAAATTTCTTTCCAAAACACAGAAGGAACCAAATATTCTAGGTATTTATTCTATTGATAATTACCCAAGTAATTTCCTTTTGTCTAAATATCCCTTCTCTTTCTACATTTAAGTGGGAAAGTGACCTGTTTCAGGGCAYATATCATTCAGAGATGAGATATACTCATCAGTACAGAAACATTCAGTAAATCAATATTCTCACCCATAAAATGCGAGGTTGATCTTTTGAACTTGATCCTTTAACTAAAAGGAAATAATTAGGTAAAAGGTGACTTCAAAAAGAAAGAGAAACCATTCTTCCTTTTCTCTTATTTACTAAGGACTTCACTAGAATTGGCCTAACTCAAACCTTCTGGAAATGTTTTAGATAAATACTAACAAATCTACCAGTAAATTAAACACATTGGAATAGATGTGTGGTTTACTTTAAAGGCATAACTAATATATTCAGGCTTCCTAGGCCTTATGAAATGTTAAATAACACTACTCACAGCAGCAATGAGATAACCAGTCAGGCACATATCAGGAAAGATCTTTCCATCAAAAACATTTGTCCAGAGAACAGGGGCAAATTACTCCCCTTCTATTGCACTTCTAAACAACCAACTCTGTAGGTTCCAGTCATATCACCTCCTAATATGGTAAGTCATGGAGGAAACACATTTTCAATGTTTGTGTCACTTTTCTTTAGGAAATTTTAAAAAATTAATAAGGAATAGGGTTGTGGCTCGGTGGTAAAGCGCTTGCCTAGCATGTGTGAGGCACTGGGTTTGATTCTGAGCACCACATAAAAATAAGTAAATAAAAATAAAGGTCCAGCGGGGCATGGTGGCCCAGGCCTGTAATCCCAGAGGCAGAGGCAGGAGGATCCTGAGTTCAAAGCCAGCCTCAGCAATGACAAGGCCATAAGCAACTCAGTGAGACTCTGTCTCTAAACAGAATACAAAATAGGGCTGGGGATGTGGTCAGTGGTTGAGTGCCAGAGTTCAATCCCCTTTTCAAAAAAAGGTCCATTGACAACCAAAATATATATTAAAAATAATTAATAACCATGTCTTTTCAGTTTGGGATGCAAAACATGGAGAAATCTGTTTGCATTTTTCACCTACAAGTATTCAAATCCCCACAAGTAAAATCTGTTATCAATATACTAACACAAACTACTGTATCTTCAAGGGGTATGAGAAACTCTAGTATCTTAAACATTACTAAGACCCCAATATCCAAAGTTAAAGGACACATGATAGGAATAGCCTTAATGGAATATGCGCAGACAAAGACTAAAAATAATTCTATACTACTGATAAACCAGAAAGTCGATCTTTAATCTTATTGATAGGGTTGAAGGGATCCCTACAAATACTTTAGTAGGATTTAATTTGGAATTTATCTACTTCTACTCTCTTTGCTCATCCTACAATTCTAGTACGTTCACATCACTCTGCAACCACTAAACAAGTGTGACTATGCTAAATGTTAGTACTAATGAAYTAAAATGTACTCTATTCTTGCCTTTGAATAGAAGAAACACCATAAAATACTAGTGAAGTTTAAAATACTAGTAACAAGTTTTTATACCCAATGTATTTTCTCATATGGCTCTAAGACTGAGACAACATATATAATTTAACTATTAACACAATCATTACTCTTAATTTTGGAKTATACATTCGTACATACACATATATATCCATTCTAATAAAACATCAGAGGGTAGAGATAGTATGTCTTCCTCTAAGATCTTATAGTTTTTTGTGCATCAGAATCACCTGGAGACCTTGTTAAAACAGACCATTTGTTCTTACCCCAAGTGACATGTGAGGGGGAAAGGAACAGAGAGAAAAAAAGAGAATGAAAAGAGAGAAAAGAAAGAGCAAGCAAGCTATTAAGCAGTACTGGGAAAGGATAAAGAGAATAAAAGTGAATTTAGATATTTTCCTCCATTTTGATGCTTGCCCTTTATCTTTCTGGGTAGCAAAGACTTAAGCAATCAACAAAGACTTTGCAAATAAAAATCTACTAGGTCAACATACAAACCTCTTCGTGCTTAAGAGGACAAATAGGAAGTTCTGGTTTCAAGTTTTAAAAAAATAATCATGCCACAATCTCTTAGCAGCCTTTTAATATCTCTAGATGGGCCTACTTTCAAGACACTCAAGGGGCAAAGAAAATTAACTAATAAGTTCTATATATTACAGAAAAATTTAGAGTTCACCAGTAAAACCTGAGCTAGCAATGATAATCAACCAGCAACTCCTGTAACACGCAGAAGAATCAACATTCCAGAAACAGACTGTGTTTTGAATTCATCAAACAAGTATTAAAATTTTATTTAAATGAAAGTTTTTCTTTTTAAGTTAATGAGACATATAAGGGGAAAATATTAATTTTATTAGAACTTAAACAAATGTTGCACAGAGAAAACATTTTAACAAAATGATATGGTGGCATAACAAAAAAGAGAACAGGGAAAGATGTGTAAAAGAAATATAAGGTGGAAAAATGTTAAATATTTCATGATTCAGTGTGGAAATAACAAATCTAAACCTAAAAACAATGGATTTTTAAAAGCACAACCATAAAACAAAAAGTTAATGCCTGTGCTAGGCTAACCACAAACACATTCTTCAGTAAAAGCTTAACAAAAGGCAGAGTAATACCTTATAGTATTTGATATCTCATTTCTGACTTTTCCACAGAAATAGAGACTTCTTATGCAATTCAATCTCAGAATTAAAACGATAGTTAAGCACTGAGAAGTAAGTATTCTACTAATTAAAATGAGAGCTGAGGCAAAACAACTGATGAGTCTTTAATCCTATATTTTTGAACTATAATAAGAACTTGATCCAACCAAAACAAATCTTCAGCAATTCAAAATTCTCTACTGCCCAAGTAACACCTCTGCCCATCCTGATTGCCATATATGGGAATCATGGACCAGTGACCATAAAACACTCTCAGGGACAAATGTAGGAAGTAAAAATATAATTCAGTGTTGACATTTATAACCAGGAAGCTCATCACCATTTTAGCTTACCACATGCCAGAATTTACCTAAGACAAATTATTTAAGTATATGTCTCCATCTTTGCAATGTTTCCTAAATACTMATACAGCAAATTTATTCATTTTTAAAGTGACCACATCAAGTTAACAGTATAAAACTATAATAAAATACTTCAAGAATAGGCTTTTGRATATTTCTCTATCCTCCCTGGATCTTTTCATGAAGATACAACTCTTACTTTCTGGTAAAAAAGTGTATAGGAAATTAACTTGGAAATGTTTCAGAGAGATTGTCAAACTATGCAGGTCTCTGCTGGATATCTTACAAAGACAACATTAAATTCACATTTTTAAATGTCTTAAAACAATATAGCTGTATTTTTGTAAACTACAAAAGGCAAAATTTTAAAATGCATATGAAAAAGTTAAGCCCTTTGCATTCTGAATATTTGAAATGTATTTGCAAAATATGCCAAATTCAAACTTAAAATGAGGTATATTTTTGTTCAAACATTAAATGTTTAGCAAATACACAATAACATGAATGGTTTCCAATTAAATTCACTGGCTTGTTTTTTGTTTGCATGTTTTTGCTTTAACCTGCCATAAAACACATGGCCACAAATCTCTGGATGTGGCATTTAATAAAAGGGAAAGCTGCTTGTGGTCACTCTGTATAAGTTTTAAGAACATAAGATGAAAACATCTTTGTGAATTATCTTTAAAACATTATAAATAGCATTACCAAAMACTAGTTGTAATTTTAAATATTATGTAAGTATATTGGAGATCATCTGTGCATCAATAATTGTCAGAGGGGAACGACTAGATAATAAAAAATTTTATAAGGATCTTAGGGCAGTGCTTAAGCAATTGAAAGTGTTCATCTGAAAAACCTATGCAGCAAAAATTTGAATCAAAGTTTTGCTTTTTTGATTGTGTGGGCTTAACCCATAGAAAACATGAGGAATAAATTGGTCAGGATCTTGTTAGTTTTAAGAAGCAAAACATTTAAGAACCAAAATATGCACACCATCAAAAATACTAATTCTGAAAATTATGTAACTAACATTAAATCACCCTGTCCAGCAAGTTCCAAAAATGCCACACATTTCAAACATTAAGGCGATTATTTTTCCAACTAAACAGTACTTTATAAAAATATATATCACTTCAAAACATATATATACATAATGACATTACWTTTATCTAGCTGTACTCTTTAATACATTAATAAAGTATCACATATTACAAAGAAATTATACTAGGTGCTTGCATGTGTACGCAAGTAGTTAGTTTTTAAAGTACAGGTTTTAAAACTGAGCGTAGTGAACGTCCTTCTTTAGTGAGTTCTCGAGTCACACACATACATGGCAAGGGGATTGCTTCCTCCCGTTTCTCTATGATATTGTAACTGCATTTCTTCAAGTGGTCAGCCATRCTTAAGATGTCAGCAAATTTCCATTCATTAACTGAACAAAATGCAGTACTGAATCGCCATACCTAGAAGAGAATTCTACTTTAGATTTAAACAAGTCAATTTACAGAAAATCAAAATGTATTTCTTGCTCTAACTGCATATATATCTTGTTAGAGAAACATCCAATATAAAGTTTCAAATAGTTACAAAATTTAAAAGTAAATCCATTTTCAAGTGAATTTGTCAAATTTATAAAGACAACTCACTTCTATGAGATAATGACTTCAATACATTTAATAAACAACCCCTCCCCCCMAAAAAAGGACAAAACCCAACATTAAAAATTACTTCCAACCTGGCTTACTGGACAATTTTTTAAAAATCATAACTTCATAAATTCAAGGCCACTTCCCAGAATAATATCTACTATGCATTATTCTTTTCCATCTATTCAATTGCCTACACAGAACTACACATGATCTGGATATATTGAATAGTGTTTCGTTTCTTCTCAGGTTCTTCTCCCATTCCTATTACACCACAAAGTGTACTAAAAATCACTTATCTTTCCACTACTCACGAATACAGAAGGTACCTAGTAATACTCAGAAACACATTTGTTGAAATGCTTCTAAAAATTTACATATAGTTCCTATAAAAGGGATCCTATTTTCATTAAAAATGTGTCTTTAACTAAAAATGTGTCTTTGTTAAAAATACGTTTTAGGGGGCTGGGGATGTGGCTCAAGCGATAGCGCGCTCGCCTGGCAAGCGTGCGGCCCGGGACCGATCCTCAGCACCACATACAAACAAAGATGTTGTGTCCGCCGAAAACTAAAAAATAAATATTAAAATTCTCTCTCTCTCTCTCTCTCTATTTAAAAAGAAATATGTTTTAGGGCAAAATGCTAACCTACCATCTGTGTACATATGTCTATTGGTAAAAATACGGGCACTCCCTGTTTTTTTCCTAGTCAGCAGCCCAGGCCCAGAAGCACTAACATCTTATTAGTGCAGCAATGACCACTGTGACCCCATCTCATCATTACAATTGAAAACAAAGCCACCCAAACAAAAGTAATAAGCATGAGAGCAGAATAAGGGAGACACATAATCATGAATCAGACAGGCAGGTCTAGGTATCCTAGCTGAGTTTATCAACAGGCCAATGTTTAGTTAGAGAACACAGAATGTAATTGTCCCTTGGTATCTGTGGGGGATTGGTTCTAGGACCCTTCCTTGCAAGAACCCAAAATCTGTGATGCTCAGGTCCCTTCTATAAAATGGTATAGCAATGACTGTTGTGGTCCCCTTATWTAAAGAATATTAAAAACAAAGCTACTGACTTGCACAAATTATGTATTGATTCCTCATCTGCTAAGTAGGGATAGTGGATTAAATAAGTTAATGAAAGTAATGATGTATACTATATACCATATTATACGTGGAGATGTGGATATTAGAGAGAGTATATTCAAAGACCTTAGCAAGAAAGAAAACACACCAGGAAACAATAAGCATGTCAATCTTGACTGGAGTGCAAAGTGACAAGAAGAAACTGAAGAGGTAAGGATGAAATTATGAAGTTTTTAATGTTTTATTAAGGACTTGGCCTCTATCCCAGGGGAAATGGACAGATATTAAAGAGTTTTAAGCATTACAATAACAGTATAAAAACTGTATTACGAAAGTATGAATATTCTAACTCTTGTATAGATAATATGTTGGAGTGGGGCCCAACTGGAGGAGGAAGCCCCGCAGGAGGAAGCTGTGGTATTAATCCAGGAGAGAATCAAAGCTTAGACTGAACTAGGAAAATGGCAGTGAAAGAAAAGAAAACATAGGACTTCAAAATTACCTAGATATGGCAAAAAAGGGGGAAAATATCAGTCAAGCCTATCTCCCAGATCCCTGGTTTAGGCAAGTTGGTATACCATGATGCCACTCTCTGCGATTAAGAAGAGTAGGGGAATAAAGTGAATTAGACATGTTGAGTCTGCATAAACTGTGGGGTAATCAAGGAGAGATATCCAGCAGAAGCTGTGTGCAGTGGGGTCTGGAGCTCAGTAGAGAAAAAGGTCAGTTTATAGACATGTGAGTAATCTGTGTAAATGATGGCAATTTAGAAGACTAGATGAGATCTCGATAGGAGTTATAAAATCTCCAGAAGACATTCTATCCTTTTTGGTAACACCACTGAAGAAGGATTAAAAAAAAAAGCCAGACATATAGTTGCATTCCAAAGGGGAGAGAGATACCAAATCATCCAGAAAACAAAAATACACAGAAACACTGAGCTAATGAAGTTTTCTGCCACCGTAATTACCTTTTGGCAAAAATCATAAAACAATTTGTGTGTTCATTTTTTTTTAATATTTATTTTTTAGTTCTGGGCAGACACAACATCTTTATTTTATTTTTATGTGGTGCTGAGGATCGAACCCAGCACCCTGCACATGCCAGGCAAGCACACTACCGCTTGAGCCACATCCCCAGCCCCTTGTGTGTTCATTTATTGGTCAAAAATCCTCAAGAGAACAGAGAAGTAGCTGATGGAGAATTCAGCAAAGTTGGAGCAACAAGTAAAAGACAAAAGCTAAGGGTGCTAAAAATAATCAGAAATTTGAATACTATACAACCAAATGTTTCGTTTATCAAAATTGTTTCCACTTCATAAAATGTGAAGTTTCATATTATAAGTGTTCTAAAATGAAAACCACCTTTAATCACAGATWTCTGTAATACCTTTCCTCTCCCATGGGATAGTGCCTCAAATACAAGGTAGACAAAAGTCGAGTACTATAAGAGAGAAATGGTGGAGCCCAGACTTGTTTTAGATATGTCTAAATCTCTAGCTCCAGTTCTCAATGTGTTACTCTTTTGTATTGTACTAAATTCAGTCTCCACCCACAATATCAAATTCTATTGCTCTATCTTTATCTTATCTCACTTCAGCCTAAGACACTTTCTCATCCATCCACTCATATCCCCTGGCCCCTTAACACTCCCCTGGACACTTACTAGAATGAATATAGCAATAGCTGTGCCTTTTTCTCATCTCTCTCCATTTGGATTCCATGTGAAACAACCAAGTCCCAATAAAGAAACTGCTAAGAATGGAAAGAAACTGACCAACTGACAAAGTAAGAAAAACCCTTTTCCTAGCTTCTTCCATTGTCTAATGGTGACAGTGTTTCAGATGGAGCCCAAATTTAAAAAGAGGGTAAATGAAGGAAGTTATTACAGAAGAATTGAGGGGGTAGAGAAGAGCTYATCTGAAGAAACAGAAGTGGCCTTTGCCATATTAGATTAGAATTTATATTTAGGAAACAAATTTCTGCAATAAATTTGTGATTATCACAATTCTAACTATCCTAGTTCTTCATTAATTATCACTTTAAAAATGTGTCATTATATTAACTTAGTAAATTTTAAGGATGATCAATTTTTCAACAAGCTATTAACTATAGCAATTCCGCAGCATTAAAGTGCCTACTTCACGTCCAATAAAGAGATTGACACAATTAAGATTAAACTAACCTTTTCCTTTATCTGCCATGATGAATTTCCTTCTGGATACTTCTTTTTCCCCCACTGCAGTATGACCATTCCACGAGACTGAAGCAGACTGCCACACACATCCCTCATTAACCTGGACACACATGAGAGCTGGCATAAACTGAAGCCATCGAGAAAGCCTGCAATATGTTGTAGGACCTCAAAGGGAAGACTACTTAGATGGTCATTATGTAATCCCAACACACAGTTTCTAGAAGGTTCTACTAATACTGTAGATACACATGGCTGAACTCCAAACGACCTCAAATGACGGTCATGTATAATCTTTGCTCCTTGTGTTGATGGACAAAATCTACGCTGAGAATAAGTACAACCATAATAGGCTAAAGGGCACCGCTGTTCCATCCAGCCATTGAGTCCAGCATGAATGTCACCATGTACATTCTTAAAATGTGAAGAAAATTCTTTTCTTCTAAATAACTGTCCACACACAAAGGTAAACATTGAACGCTGCTTAGGTTGATACCTAGCAACACATTCCAATACTAAATCCAACCCAAGTGTCTGAAAAGGACTTGGATTTGAAAGCTGGGGATTGGCATGATCACAAGCTGAAGCTGAAGCTATTTCCCCAACCATTGTATTTGTAGCTAATATTGCAGATGGAAGCGAAAAAGTCTGCGTCCCAAAGTCAATATGATATACATCAACCATGCGACTATCAGATATACCCCTCCCACCTGGAGAATCTCCTAGACAGAACAGTAATGCTGCTGTAATCAGATCTATTCCTTGGAGGCCCATAGGATCTTCAGCAACTTCCAAATCTGATGTATCTACTGCTTTATCTTCTTTTGGTTTAGACCAACATGAATTAGAAAGAAATTTGAATGAAGGAGCATGACTGAAAGATAAGACATCCACATTCCTCAAGTCCCCTAAGTCTACTTTTCTCCAATACAGTCCTCCTTCATCTTCATCGTCTGGCATGAGGATATGCTGAACGGTGCCATTAGGTAAAGCACTGGAGGGTATTACTTCCCTAAGTTGTGCTGCTACTGAAAGTGAACTGGAAGATTCTGCAGTACCATCTGATGCCACACATTCTCCATTTGTTAAGCTACTTTGTTTTGAATCAACTTGAAAATTCTGATCCTGGTCTTTGACCTGTGTACATACATTTTCCAAAGGAAAGCCATTACAAAGAACAGAAGTGCCATAAGAACCTGCATTCAAGTCACACAATAAATCACTTGAACCATTTTGCTCAGACTGGGCATTCTGACTTATGCCAGTATGGTCGATTCCACCTACTGCCCCTATCTCATCCTCGTAAGGACGATCCTGGTCTTTCAAGTTTCTATCCTGCAAACTTTCTCTGTCATTTTGTTCTTCATTCATTTCATCTGGGGTAGTATGAAGACTTGTATTTAACATGCCAATGTCTCTTGTGGCAGTATTCAAGATATCTAAAGCAGCAGCCAAACTTCTGGTTGTTTCTACAGTAGCTTGATAAAGTGCACCATAAGATTCTTCATCAACAGATACCAAACCATTAGCATGTGGTATTTCAGAGACACTGGATTTAACTGAGATTTGTTCTCTAGGTTCAGATACTTTATCAGTAGCTTTTGACATCATGGTGGCTACTTTGAGAGATTCTAAGAGCATCCTTTGGTCTTGAAGAGCCAAGGCCATATCTAATTGAGCCACTTCATCAACATCTCTGCTTAGATTTTCATAYGATTTCCGGTCCGCATAACTAACTGGCCATCGGTTCCATTCCATAGTACAGCATACCACACTTGCAGGACACATTTCAAGATGTTCAGCAACTTTATTTCGGGTCATGGTAAAAGGACATCCAAAGTCACTATTTAAGCAAGGCACTCGTTCAAATGGACACAGAAGTCGGTGCTCATTAGCTTTACAAGAATGGAAAACTGCTCCACAAACCAAAGGACAACCAATCAAATCACAGGAAATCCCAGGCTCTGGTCTGGTCATACACCGTCTACTGACACAATTCACACAGTGTGAATGCTGCAGCTCCTCCTCCATAATGGTCAGTCCAGCTCTAGTGTTAAAATAAAAGAGAAAAGAAAGAAGTTAGACAAAAWGTGGTTGATTTTCAAACTGCTCAATAATATAAATTAAATCACTGATTCATCGTATCTTAAAGATACATATAAACATATTTAACTAATTTTATATTTAATCAATATATCTTGAAACAACTTAAGAACTTCAAGTAACATTTGAGTATTTTAAAATGTCATAAAGAAAGTACTGACATGTGGGAAGTATACAGCATGTAAAAAYATACATAAAAAGCATATTATGTCTTTCAAAATAATACTTAAATTATAGTACTGTGTAGTATATAAATTAATATCAATAACAAGTTAATGGGTATTTCAACTYTCAGATTTTAGAGGCTGCTTTAGTTTTTGCTTTCTTTCCTTTTCTTTTTTATAATTTTCCCAGTGTTGGGGACTAAACYCAGGGCCTCATACACACTAGGCACACACTCTACCAAGGAGCTAAAYCCCCAGCCCAGCTTTTACCTTTTTAAAGTGATTGTGATATGCCTGATATTGCAGAGACATAKTCATATTCCATACTCATTTCAATTTCATTACTATTACCAGTCAAAACTTTACTAGAAGTTTTCTTTTTATTCTTCTAAATATATGAATTAACGTACAATTAAATCTATTAATCTCTCCTTCTACATATGCCTAATAAAKTCTCTAACAAATTAACAGGGTAAGGCTTAATTAAAATACACAGAGAATTTATCAAGAAAATAAAAGTTCTAGCTCAAGCTCTGTATCTGTGGGTAAAACACTTCTAAGGACCTCAGTTTCCATTCATTCATTACATCTATTTATTGTTTAGCTATTCTGTACTAGGCACTGCATTGGTGTGGCAACAAAGATTTACTGAAAAAAATTTTTACTGTTTTTTTTGGGGGGGTATGGGGTCTTGCTATGTTGACCAGACTAGCTCCTGAGAAGCTGAAATTACAGATGTGTGCTATCATGACCATTTTTCAATATAAAGACTAGTAAATCATAGAGCCTTTTCTCAAAGAGCAACAACAGGAGGTTGGTGACAGTAAMAATCCTATCACATTTATAAAATAATCAGTATGGATAGGGGTTAGAGAAGAATGCATRGTCTTGAAAGATGAATTGTCTTTAAGTATAGATCAGTAAATTGGTAAGGGAGGCATTCCATGCTAAAATAATAGCCTGTGCAACTGAAAAGAAGCATGAATTGACAAAATATATTAACTCTTTCTAGTATTCTAGTATTGTTGGGTCAAGGTAAAATATAAGGTAGAGCAACGAGGCCAGGTGGGAATAAGGCAAATCATGAGAGCTATATGCTACTCTAGGGAGTTCAGATTTCTAGTACTTGTAAAATAATATCAAGACATTACAGATATTTAATGGTCTTTCTTGCTTTTTAAAGCTAGTATAGAAAGCATAAGCACATTTAATTATAAGTGAGCTTATTCAATGAATTTTCTATAATTAACATTTTTATTGGTTTTTGTTAGTAAAAACAAAGTATACTATATTCCTTTTGCCACCATTCTTATTTGCYACTCAACCACATGTTCAGAAAGAAAACAAAACAAAAATCTTCTAATTTCCCATATATTGCTGAAACTTCTTATCTGGCTTTATTGTTACTACTCCTCAATAAAACTGCTCTATTGAGATCCTCCTAAAATTAAAGGGCGTTTTTTTTTTTCCTCAGACCCCCATCTTCCCTGGCCCTAACATTATAATGACTAATCCCTTCTTTTGAAYAGTCATCGTTCTTTACTTTACATGCTGTGTACACTTCTCCAGTTTCCTAACTCTCTGGCTATTCTTTAGTCTTCTCTTAAAAATTACTCTTCTTCAGGGTTCCAAATTATTCAATCTATACATTCTCTATTCATTCCATAAATTCTCTCAATTTTTTCTCAAGTCTCAATTATCAGCCATATGCAGAAAACTAATTTATACATCCTGCTCAGACACCTCTTCCCAACTTCAGACCTCTCTTGCTAATTATTTATTATGTGTTTGTGCTTGTGGATGGTATGGAAAACTCAACTCTATTATTTCCCAAATTAAATTACATTGTAGTATTTAATTCTCTAGAGAAGAAACAGATTCTTAACCCATTTTCTTCACTCATGAGTAAGAGTTACTGCTAGTTCTCTGGGKTTTTTTCCAATAAATTCTATCTTGATTCCAAGTGGCTAAAGTAATTGCTCCCCAAAATGCTACATCTTTTTCTCCAGTCGAAGCTTGATTTTAATGGAGCTTTTCCTAATTAGGAATGTTCAGAGTCGATATTATGATATTCAATGATATCATGCCCAAAAGGTACACATTCAACACCAACACTATGTTTTTACATTGTTTTTAAATTACAAATTATGAATTAAATACTTATTTTTACTCAAAATATTTATAGGCAAGTATATAACCTATAAATTAAAAATAGGCATGCTAAAAGAATCATAATAGAATGACAAGTTAAAGATAACAAATGCTTGTAATTTAAGCAGATATTCACAGAAACTTTAATAAGAGGACAATCTTACTGAGGGTCACACTTTGAAAACAGCTGTAGCTATCTTATTTTGTAACAACTAGACCAAGTTCATCCCACATGCCGAAGGTTATAAGCTTGACTGTTACTAAGAGAGAAACCTAAAAACAAACAATTTCAACTGAAGTGACCACTGCTCTAAAGACTTGTAGGGACAGTTGATGTTACACTACACACCATCACATGAAGACACCAAGAAGAACACATCTTAATTCAATTCAAAAGTATTTAAAATAGCAACTGCTCAAATCCTGAGTTAAACAGCAACAACTTTCAAAAAGAATGTAGAGGGTTCTCAAGCTTCAAAATAACTAGCCTCTTTTACACTATTCCCCTCTGAATAAGAATATAAACAATAAAAATAATGGAAAAAGAAAGAATCCATAGGTACAAGTCCATAATGCTTATTATGTATTGAAATAGACTTAGAAGAAAAAGAGAACACTATTTATTTTACCTTATCCTTCTTTGCATATATCAAGGCTCTAAATCCTCATAATGACCCAGAGAAAACAGGTTCAGAAGTGACTTGCCCAAGGACATTGACCTGGTTTAGTGGCAGAGACAGCAGCACTTAAATCTGTATCTGATCAATATACAAGGGCAATAAGACATGTTTCCTTATTAAAGTTTAAGAAAATAAGGCAGCTCTTCAGTAACCAGTGATTCAATTTTAAGATGTTATTTGCGGAACGGAGATTACACAACTTTGCTTGTGGTTTATTCCAACACTTAATCACCCTGTGGTCAAGAAAGTCTTTTTGGTCCTTTCTAATTATAAAAGCATATTACTTTGCTTTGAATGTATGTGTTTAAAATTATTTTTAAAATAATTTACATTGGTAAGGTTCAACATAAACATATGMAACATTATTAACTTAATAATTCTCAAAATAACTTTACAAAGGAGCAATCACATTAAATTCCATTTTACAATTAAATATATTAAGAATAAGAAAATATAACAGTCATGCTGGGGAGCATTCTGGGGAGAGAGCCCTCAGCTTCAAAATTTAAAGCTTTCCCAGATCCATCTTCTTTTTAATCAGGATTGTTGGCCATCAAATTAAAAACATCTTCATAAAATATTACACAACTACTCATAAMTCCTGTGAAACAGGTTTAAAACCATCAATCCCTGATTTCTTAGTGGAACAGTGACAGAGCAGGTCCAATTAGAAAACATGTTGCTCAAATTAAAGGATTCAAGTTCAAGATGAGTTTAATTTGAAACAATGTTTTTTTGAAAAATCTCTTTCCAATCAGGATTTTTACCTGCCAAATCATATCTTTACTAATTTACACTTAAATATGAGTTACTGGAAAGTTTTACTAGACTAMAAACTACTTGTAAACAATGAAATGCAACTATTTGTAAACAATAAAATGCTTTACAATATTTTTATTTATTTATTTATTTTGTCTAACAGACATTCCTTGCCAACTCATATTCTGTGGCTGACAAGCAATCCTTAAAAATAGTTTTAAGACATGGCATTTTCCCATACAATGAAATGAGAGCTGGTCATTTAAGGCATAGAGATAGTGCCCCCCAATATTTTTTCAAATTCATCCAAATGCATATGGAAATAAGTAAATGAAGAATTGTAAACCTGCATGATTTTAAATTATGCTAATGTACTCAAAACAGATGACTACCTCAGGGCTGTTCTTATTGTCTGCTCATCTCCTAGACAGACACAGATACACAGGCTTCCCCTCCCCACATCATGCTAACTCAATTCTTTGGTCTCTGCTTTAATATTACCTTTCTATGTACCCCAAAGCAAGGTAGGATCCCTTACTATGTGTGTTCATTATACAGCTGCACTTTCCCTGATAATACTAATGACAACTCAAAGGAAATCATTATTCTGTTTACTATCTCTCTCCACAAGAAAACTATAAGGCCTTTGAAAGTCAGGACCATCTCTGTCTAATTCATTCTTGTTTTCTCTGCATTCAAAACTCTGCCTTGATTACAGATTCATGTAAACACGGGTATGAAAAATTATAATAAAAGAAAATAGTAAAATAGGGTTCCAAAACAAAGAAAAGGAAATATCTACCTCCCAGTTGTTCTATTATTTTAATTCCCTAATCAGCCTAGCAGGCTAGTTATTGGGACAATAAAAAGGCACCAGTTTCGAAAATAAAAATAAGTAAATGTCTGCATATGCTCAGATGCCATAGTAAGGTACACGGTGAGGAAAAACTCAAAATAGGAAGAACATCAGCCTACTGTTTAATATTACAATTAACATGGTATTAGATAAAAATCTACTTAAACAATAACATGCTGTTCCAATGTAAGGCTGATGTGGAAACAGATGTGTTCCATTAATCAACCATTATTACAAGAAAGTTCATAATTGAAATTTCAAATTTAGCAATCAGTTCATCTTTGCATAGTCAGAGGTATTAATGTACAATAAGTACAAATACTTGCTGAATGATTTGCTTATCAGGTACACTCACAGTTTTAAAGATCATAGTAAATCTATACCTTTGCAGGACATGGTATTCACTGTTTTAAAAAGCAGGCAGGGTGGGGGTTGTAGCTCAGTGGTAGTGTTTTTGCCCTGTTTTGCAGGGTCCTAGGTTCAATTCCTAGCACTGAAATTAATTAATTAAGTAAGTAAGTAATTTAAAAAGGGGGAAGTGGAGGTGGCTAACCAAGATAAGAAATATACTATAGTTCAATTCCTACCTCAAAGCACATGCTCCCATTCCAAATTGGCTTACAGGTTACAAGGTATATTCTTTTGTTAAACTTTGATCCTGGCTTTTTAAAATTTTTCTTCAAGTGTTTATCCTTCCAAATACGATATAATCAAAACATACGTCTTCCATTTCTAAATATGGTCATGGTCATGAACAGCTCATTCCAAAGTGAAAGTTCTAACTACTTACAATGTTCTCCACTAAATAAACAAATGAAATTATAATAGACTTACATCAGAAATTGAAATAATATTAGTAACTATTTAATACTCAGACRAGAGCCTAATTGAGTTGATACTTAGATAAAAATAATCCACCCAAATGTGAAAACTCCATTTATTAAGATGAGTATCATGGTACAGGGAATGGGCTTACAAGGAATCTTAGTTTTTTTACCTAGAGGCAACTAATCTGCTCTGAAAATAATCTAGAAYTCTGTGAAGTTTGGTTACAATTACATGTGTGTCCAACAGGATATAAACATGTAGGTCTCAGAAACAGATGCAATCCACTTTACAAAATAGCCACATTTATATAAAGTTTTATGTATAATTATTTTTATGTGGTCGTTTAAACTTACAAAAGTTACTAAATGCAGTTTGTGAGTAAGTACTATACTCCCACAGGTCTGGAGTTAATATTACTCAGTGTTTAAAAAAAAAAATTTTTTTTTGGTAAAAGACTTTTTTAAYTGAGGTGTGCTTGTCTGTATCTAACATCCACCTACAGCTACCTACAATACAGAAGTGAAATCTCATCTATTTTATCTCAATGAACTTGAATKAAATATTTTATATAGGCTGACTCAAGACTTTATCATCAAAGTGTTGTACAACTACAATGTCATTCTACAGTAAAATGCTCAGCAAGTACTAACTCCTTTTATCAACATAAGCAGCCTGGGAAACTCATTTAAAGACTATCCAAAACGATATGGAATACCATAGAGTTTATCCTATGTGAAAAATTACATCTTAGAAACATGTTTTATCAAATAGTAAACAATGCCTATTTTAGTGACCTTAAGTTACTAAAGGCAGAATCTCAAAATGTTAACAATTATTTATATAGTATTGTTTTTTAATGATATTTTATTTGGGCACAGCATTAGGGGGAAAAATAAAAAGTCCTCCAATGCTAAACCTATATAGAGAAGCAATGGCTTGAAATTAATACCCAGAACGATTAAGATACATAGGCAAACTTCAGTTTTCTTATTCACAAAATTCCACCCACTTCCACTAGAATCACACACACACACAAATGGTTTATTTCACCACATTAAAGCCTCAGGTTAAAAAAAAAAAAACTGGCAATTTAAGAAATTAGCAAAACACCATGTTATCACCAATTAAATTTCTACAGTGAGAAACAGTGACTAAGCATAAAGAAGAGTGATGCAGCGAAAACTGTACACTGAAATTTACCCCTTAAAAAATCCTAAAGGTCTATTTTATGCTACTCTTCCTTTTGCCAAGTCGACAACTTCACTACTTTGGAAACCCTTACAGGAGGAGCAAAGGCAAAACACGTTAATATAATTTACTGGGTCTCTAAAGAGTACACATAGTTCTGAGATTTAGAAAGTTTTAAGTTTTTTATTAAGAGTTTTAAGTTAACCTACACTGATATCAGAATGCCCATAAATAACTTCATCTTGGATCACAGTCAACAAAGTAACCATGGAATAAAAGGTCAATTCCTTCCCAAGCATCTTGACTCAACAACAGCGCTCAGAAAGAAAAACAAGAGAAAGGGAGAGAGGAATGGAGTACTGGAGCCGTGGTAAACAAGGACTGCTCGGTCACGTTAAGGGACATTCACAGACTACTTAGAATCCACCACGCGTTCCGCGTCCCCCTTCCAAGCAAAGTACTTCCAAGGAGCAGGACACGGCACAAATATCCCCGCAGGTCTGGAAAACCCAGAAGTTCCCCTTGAATAAGGACCGACGCTAAGACAGATCCTCCCGCTTCCAAGAATGGAAAAGTTACCAACTTCTCTCATCCCGCGGAGACAGTTGATGATGCCTCCCAGTCTCACTTAACCCGTTTGTCCCCAAAGAACACAAGTTTCTAGGAGACAAAAGGAAAGCTGCTGGGTTTTCGAGGTCCTCGGACTTCGCTAAGTTACACTCCCCGCTCGYCCTTCCTCTGCACGCAGACACCAACAGAGGTGCCCGGGGTCGGCGCCCGGGGCTCGGGTMGCCATTTGCCGACCGCCTCAACGGCCGGCCACGCAGGCGGCCCGGCGCGGCGGACGCCCTCCGGGCCGACCCAGGACCCGCGCGGGCCGGCCACCGCCGCGTTACTGCCCCTCGGCGCGCCCGCGCGTCCAACCCCGCCGCCGGCCTCGCTCGGCCCCGCCGCCGCCGCCCCCGTCCCGCTCAGCGCGGGCCGCGCCGGCCACCCGCGGGCCTCCGACACTCACCGGCGCGCGCGGCCGAACCGCGGCCCAGACCCAGGCTGCCGTGGCCGCCGTGCCCGGCTGCTCCGCACTGTCCCGGCGCTGCCTGGAGCCCCACACCCCCGTCTGGCCCGCCTCCTCTGCGCCTCACCCCGCAGCCGGGCCGCCGCCTTTTCTCTTCTCCGGGCCTGTTCCAGCGGCAGCCACCCTCCTCCTGCGCCCCGCCCCGCTCCGCCCCGCCCACCAGCCCCAGCCGGGCGGAGACGCGCACGCAGGGCCCATCGGGAACGCGCACGCCGCCCTCTGACTCCGCCGCGACGACGTGGCGCAGAGCGGGAGAGTCAGCCTGGAGTATCGCTGCCCWGGAGCGTCTAGCCCGGGGTTCCCGGCGCGCCCGTGTAGCTCCGGGTAGTACTACCAAGTCCTGTTCAATTTTAGAATCTTACATTCTTGGAAGGACTCCTAGACCCCTATTTCACAGTTGAGAAAACAGCCCACGTACAGTGACTCGTTCTCCTCGCTAGATGTAGGAATTGCAGCTCAGCTCCCCAGGAGCACAGCGCGGTACTCTTCCCATCAGCTCAGATTCGCAGGAAATGGGTCGGCACTCGCTGAATCTTTGATGATTGCCACCAGGGCCCTTCTCGCTGGCTTACCTAACGTGTTCAAGCCCTTGGGATTTAGTGTCACTATTGTACTGTGACCCGTTTTCCCCTGTAGGGTTCTGGCTGGATTCAGGCAGCAGAGTCATTCTGGAGCCCTAATGGGGAATACACAAATGTCTGCGTCAGTGAGGGAGTGAGACTTTCCCCTGCCAACTAATTTAAGTGGGGAGAGAGCTTGAAAATGAGATAGGAATAGGGAATAAAAGGAGAGATCCAGAATCTCAAAGGAAGTGCCCGAAATGCAGGAAACCCCCACGAACCATTGAAATGTAAGAAAGTTGCAACTCCCAGGAAGGAGCCTAGTCTGCAAAAGTAACTCGAAGGCAATGCACAAGCTCAACGAAAACTGGGGTTGAAATTGGGTAGCTCCACCCTGGCTCCACCTCTAGATCRGCCCCTAGCAACTAAATATTAACACCCCACACCAACCAGTAGCTGTCTCTCCCTCTGTAGCTAGCCAGCATTCTCCTTTGAATGCATATTGCCTTGCTCTATCCTAAAGGCATCTCTCTCCTGAGATTGCCCCCATTCTCCTTGACTATGTATCTCCTTTAATAAAGAAACCTTGGTCTATGCCTTTGGCTTGTGCTCAAATTATTTTCCAKCAAGTATGCCAAGAACCCCACTGATCCTGAGTCAAATTTCGTTGTCGTCGTGCCCTCCCTCCTCCACCCCCCAGTCTCTGAGAACTCCTTAAACACTTCTTTGGAGGCATCTCTTCTCTTGTGACAATACCACTTGTGAAAGATACTTTACAAATGACTGAAGATTAATGAAATACCACATGTCTGTATCAAAGAATGGAGGTCYAAACCTCAGTCTAAGACTAAGGGCCAGAAGAGACAGTGGTTCAGAGTGCTGTCTGATGGAGTCCCTCAACCAACATCCATCCTGTGGACTTCTGCCCGCTCCTACCTCAAGAGAACTACAATCAAGAAATCATAGCTGTAACTTGGCAGTATGAGTGGGGGCAGGGAAGGGAGAACACTACTTTGTCATTTTGTGTGTGTGTGTGTGGCTACATTTTTTTTTACCCCGAACTGATGTTCCTTGGAAAAGACAGTTCACACATAATTTGCCATCCTGCAGAAAAATGACTGACTYTCAGACTTTTGGACTTAAAAGGTCTGAAAATTAAAACCAGTAATAACAAAAAGGACACCATCAGGGATCCCGTGAAACATAGACCCCCTTAGAACTAAACAATGAATACGTTTCAGAAAAATAAGACAGCCAAGCTGGCTCTCAGTCACATGGGATTAACAGCCACACTAGAAAATTTGTAGTTAAAAAGTGAACTACTCTTCAAGGCWGTGGGAATAAGATAACATCCAGGTGACGGGAGGCTGGGAAAATTATTTCTGCCTTCTACGATTATGTGGTCACAGTGATACCAACTCTGAAAGTAATATTAGAGAATTTCCCAGATGATAAGGGCAACTCCAGGGGGTGAGGGCTTTAATAGTCACTAAAGTAACCCACAGTTACCTTTGCCTTATTAGCATAGTAAAACACACTCCTGTAGGTGGAGGYTTAAGATGATAATGAGACAAGAAGCATGATAAGGAAGAGGAAGGAAAAGATTGAAGTCCCATCTCTACAAGTGGAGACACCAAGAGACCACATTCCTGCCTTCCTCCTAGATGCCATGAAAGCTATTCCCTTCTGTACTTTGCCTGAGTCTATCTGGGATCTCTGTTCCCGTGTGCTTTCTGCCTTCTACCTCTGGCATAAGCCCCCCACCCTTTGCTTTGCTAGAGCTAGCCTGGGGGTCACTTTCCCCAAAGTGCTGTCTCCCCTTCTGGCTTAAACAGAAGTCTTTAATAAAGTCTTAACTGTRTTTAAATTCTTTCTCAGTTCACTGTTCCTTTCTATAACTCTGGATCCATGAACCCAAGGTCAGTAACAAGTTGAGTTAGCSACTTAGATTAATCACAAAGTAAAAGTCAGTTCTTTGAATAAATTTAGATTTTTWAAAAATAAATCAGTCTTGGGGGGGGAGCATTTTATTTTATTATTTATTTATTTAGGGTCTGATATGTCTTCAGACAGGCTCTGGTCCTTTGTCCATAGTTCGAGAGCTATTGTCCAGAGAGCTAGATGATAAAGCTGGTGAAGCAGGCAAGTGACTGGTGGGAGAAGACTGTGGTTCTGCTGTTGTTTTGCCCAACTCTCTACTCAACTGCCCTGATTGAGTCACATACCCTTCCTTTCCTTCACTCACCCTCCTATAAATAAAGGGGACAGAGTATATGGTGTCTAAGTCCCTTTCCATTTTATTTAAAATCCCAAGATTCTATAATTGAAATTTGGAACTTTCCCCTTTACTAAGTCATCTCTCRGACATGATGTCACCCTCTCCCACCTCAGGCTGAGTCATTCAGGCTGGAAAAACCACAATCTTCTTTGCCCTTCCACCTTAATACTTTTCTATGTCCAGGAATTTTTTTTTAATCTCTTCTTTCTTCTTGCCTTTCACATTCATCCCTAGTTTCTATCCTAGGTAAATTTCTATCCTAGGTGAATTTTTGCTGTTTTCTAACCAGTCCTTCTTCTTCTAGTTTTCCTACCTCAAACCTACTATCAACATAGTTATTAAGAGACCCATTTCATCTTGGCATTTCTCCATTTAGACAACTGTAATAGCTATCTAGTGCCCATTGTTTAAAATTTCAAATCCCGTCCTYAACTGTTCAAAGTGAATCTTTCATCTTATCCTGATTAATGTCCTTCTTTTTCCTATCAAACACTATGCATAGGCCACCTGAGCTCATAATAAAAGACCTGAAGTTCCTCCCTCTTAATTGTTCAGCTCTCATCATCCCATGTCTTCCACAAAAGGCTTTTGTAGCATACACTGTTTTCAGCAGGTCACAACAAAGGATACCTGTTTCAAAAATCAATGTCAGTACCTACATGATCTCCTAACCCATAGAAGCAGATCATTACATAGTAGTTGCTTAGTGTATGTTTGGGGGGAAAAATGTTTACCCTCCTTGTGTCTCCATTTGTATGTGTTATTCTGTATCCCAACTTCATAGAGAACCTTCTAAGGAGTGCCTCTTCAATAGAAGTTATTTAAAACTAAGTGGTGACCARTGAGAATGCCAGAATCACAAGTTTATTCAAACATGCATCCTTTCTTATATGCATGGATTTGGACATAGACTTCTTGAGAAAAGCTATCATCTCTGTGGCTTAGCCACCTAGAGAAATGACAGGGGCAATACAAACAGGGAAAAAAAGAAAAAAAGGAAATGTCAGAACTAGGTTTAACCTACTGACTCCCTTGAAGAGGAAGTCTTTTCAGGCTTCTCAAGCCACACACTGCAGGTAGTCTCACAAGCTTCTGCAGGTGTATATCCTAGTGGCTATTTCTAGAGATTATTTTCAAGTTGGACAAGGTATCAGAACCATAAACATAAAAATAACACCACAAGTGGAAAGCCCAGACACAAGATTAGACTGTATGAGCAGTTGTCAGAGAAAATAAATTTATTTGATAAAGAAAGTGAATTCAGCCACCAGTAAGCTGCTCTTCCCTTTGTTCAATGTCAGGGCAAATAGAATCTATGTTCAAGAAGATTTTCTTTCCAGATTAGACCAGGCTGTACTTAGGTAGTCCAGGGGCCAAAGCAACAGCTATGCCAGGCTTGAAGTTTAAGTCATATGCTAATTAAGGAAAGCATCATTGGCCAGGGACAAGTGTGAGGGCTGGGGGCTGAATTGCAGCTGTGAAATCATGAGACAAGTGGAATTACCAGCTGGGGCTGTGGTGGGAAATACCATTCCTCTTTTATGTCATACTCCAACAGAATCACAAAAGAGAAAGAACCAGTCTGAATCACCTAATAGCCAGAATCTAGAATCTAATAGCTACAATTATATTTCCTACATAAGTTCATTGGAAGTACAAAGAATATGACAAATAACATTTAATTACATGGTAATCGGGAAGGAGCCTCCCAATGATGTCTTCAACCCCAAATCTATTTTGCAGTTTTATATACATGACAAAGGAATTGGAACCAAGGCAGCCTGGAACGTTGGAAAAGCAGAAAACCCAGGTTTTGTCCCTGTACACCACAGACTTGCTAAAGGATACTGTTGAAATTATCTATCATGTGAATTTTA